TTTTTTTTTTTTTTTTTTTTGAAACTACCATTTTTTAAATGCCGGACATTAGGGGTACGAGAATTTAAGCGACTTGTTGACAGGGAACTTGGGAAACTCAACCTTGCTACATTTTTTCCCACTAGTATAGGTGAGTCCACAAACCCATATGTATCTGGGCGTGAGCTTATGGTTACCAGTGATATCATTGGCAGGGTTACAAACCCGGAGAATCATTGGTCTTTGACACTCGCACTTTGGGTTTTTTTCGGAAGTAAAAGAGGGTAGATACATTCGGTAGGTAATATTTATTCGGGTCACTCCGGCAATTGGATGAGTATCAGTCATAACCGATGAGAGAGGGCAGGGCATGATAGCATGTTTGTAGATCTCCTGGCAGCCAGCATGCATGATTATCAAACTGTTGTGAGGCAGGTGGACAGATATAGGCGCATATGGTTTTGAAGGGTCCCGGTTTTTAAGACGAAACTCACGCGTAACCCCTAGCGATACACTTGCAATTACAGCATGAGGCCCTAAATGAGTGAGCTGATCCGAGTGAAATCCTACAGATTGTTTGGGTCCCGAGTACCTGTTGCAAACTGCCATGTCCGAATACCATTTGGTAGGGCATTGGTAGGGCATGAGACCTCGTTTGGATATTTCAGTGTTGACAATACGTTCCACCATTTCTTTTGCCTCTGACATGTCAGCGTTGAACATGCGAATGTTTTTAATCTGTTTACCATTATAACTGGCCATTTTATTTGCAAAAATAGCCGCGCTGTCAGTATAGACGGAGGTGGTATGTGGGGAAGAAACGTCACGATCAAACATGTTGAACTTATTTTCCTCCCACGTTTCTGACTCCTTGAGCATAGTTGTAAGTAGTCGGTCGGCTAATTCTTTTGGGAACACGCCAAAGTGGAGTGTGCAGGGCAAAAGCGATCTAACATCATCAGGATCATACAAATGAATCGGCTTCCCTTTTGTTTCAAGCCGCTGTTTCTTTATAGCAAGAGCACTGGGTTTGGATTCAGTACCCTCACAGTCACGAAAAAACTGCTTTAAAGTGATTTGTTTCGAGGCCGTGGTTGGTTTTATTTGCTGTTCCGTAGTTGCAAAAGTGCCGAAGGAAGCATTGCCATCAGGCCTACTACTCCTCAGATCAGCCCCGTCTAAAAGAGTTTTTGTTTCCAATATACTGCCATTACATGAAATTAATACATCAAGTAAGCTATCCAGTGAGTAGTTTGGAAAGATGCTTGTGAGGACAGCCAATTTAGAGTCCGTGTCATCATCACTTGGTTTTGTTTTGTGAGTCGACATTTGGCTGGTGGGTGTGATATAGTTACTAAGTTTAATAAACGTCAAAGCGTTAAGTTTTTTTAATTTTTTTTTTTTAGGTTGTCATTCACTTTTGCTGTTCCTAAAATCAAATTTTTAATACAGTAGAGAAAGTCATCGACGTTTGCACAGGAGCTGCCAGCAGGGTCCAAAGCAATTCACCTGATAGAAAAAAAAAACCGTAGCAAATCAACCAAGGTTGAAACGTTAAGATCAGATTTAACATGGGTATAATGGATTCCCGTGTTATGAGCAAGTTGGGTTTTTCCAGTCCTGCTAAGACTTATTAATCGCGAAATTCCATTATCTCTTGTTTTGGAAGGGGAAGACTGCTGCTCAAATTTACTCAATATGATAAACTTCTGACCTATTCAACTATCAAAAACCAAAGTGCTCATTCGCTAGAAAAAAATTTTCAAATCGACCTCTTAAGCCCACTGCCTCTTTTTTCTTAGGGACGCTGTAAACTGATCAATACAATGGTCATCTGGCTTAATGGCTAACAGAAGAACAAAAGCCATGGCGCCCAATATATATACAGGTAGCCGTTGCTAGTGGAAACTGTTCATAATCTATGGAACACAAGATAAATGAGTGACGAAGAAGTAAAACGAATTGAAATCTAAAAAAGGAACCAGTCATCAATTCTGCGTTTCCTTCAATAACCGACCCTCAGGGCCCCGTTAAGAATTTATCATTGGGTCGTGACTCATGAGATAGCGGTATTTGCCAGTTTGATGGCAATTCCCATTTAGTTTTGCTGACACAAAAATCACATTTCAGAGAGAGAGAAAATGAACTTGTACTGAACGGCAACAAGGCTAAGGAAACATGTGAAACCTTTTGACAGCATTACTTAAATTTTGTAAATAGTTGTATAGTGTATCCCCAAAACTATGGCAACTTGTCATGGGAATTGCCGTGCCTCGTCATAAAATTGAGCTGCATATACAGGCCATGGCGCTCTTATGTAAGTGTAATTTCAGATGATAACAATAAAATCATTTTCCAAATCAACCCATTGTGCAGTTTATTTCAAATACTATCGACCATATAAAATCAGTTTATTATCCTTACATCAAATAGATACAAACAACACTGTCGACCATGTGCTAAAGAATTGTTTGTTCACAACCTGTGGAACGCAACTAGTTTAGGGGAAAACTTCCCCCCGGATCATTGTCGTCCGGTTCTTTTAATACCAAGAAGGGTCGTGTGGCCAAAAAAAAAAAAAAAAAAAAAAAAAAAGACTCTTTAATTTCTTAGCACCATCTTTAATAATGAAAGGGGACATTTACGGCTCACTTGATTAAGGTATCCTGATGCGGTTTTTTGTTGCAATTTCTTGTGTGAATCTATAAAAGTATTATAGAAGGGATGTTATCAGTGTGTATATTCATTTTTAAAGAATTCCGGTAGCGTCAAAGCGCAAAACTTGTAATCCGCGTTGAGAACCCCGTACAGTCAGCTCCCATCTACATTCTTTTGCTACTTTACTCATATTCCATATTCAGGTAATTGTAAGAGATATGGCCATTAAAAAGATTTCTTTTTCATCTTAAGGGTAGAGATTCGTTTGGCACCATTTTAAATATACGCTAACCGCGCGTAAAACTATATTCTGGCTTTTCTTTATTACTTGCGTGTTTCATGACACTTTTACATTATTTGGACTGCATTTTAAATTGTAACTTGGTTGTCGTTGTCAGTTGTAATTTCTTTCTTTAGTGTATATATTCTATCAAGTAACTAGGGATGAGCATTTGCCTGCAGTGACCTCTTGTGTAAATTCTGTGCAGTGTGTGTATACTTTAGAGAGCCTCTTCAACGGCCCTCTTTTAGGCATATGAAAATGACAGTGGCTATTGTTCACTGGTGACTAAGCCACTCCATTGCTCCCTTTTATTTTATTTTTATTTTTTTTCCGAATTGGCTGAGTATTTCTGATCAATTGTGGGTTTGTAGAGACCTGGTGGTTGACCCTTTGAGCCCTGATACGTGCAGAGTTTTCTTGGTGACTGGAAGTCTTGTGCCGTGACCACTGAGCTGGCCTAATCTTACAAACCAGGTAAATATTCGCTTTTTATTTTTTTTTGTATATTTTCTGACCAACTGCAGCACAATCTTGCCCAAAAGTACTTCCATTTACTAGGCTCAGTATAGGGAATGGCTTTCTTTTCTTGTTTTTTTTTCTGTCATTTGTTTGAAAGTAAATCCGTGCCCTCAAGGTTTAACGGGAGTTAGTCCACGCGATGAGAGCCTATGCCAAAAAAAAATTTTAAAAAATAAAAAAAAAAAAGTAATGACCAAAGCCTACTTTAGGCGCATCACTTGTCTTTTTTTGGGGATTTATTTTTTATTTGTTTTGCTGAATGCTTTAACGTGCGTCTGTAATACGTGGTTTACACTTTTGTTCATCATGTTCTTAGCATCGGGGGGAGAGCCGCTGTCAACAAATTAGACAGCACTAATGGCCCAGATGCATACGACGCTGTTCAGTATTTGGTCTCGCACATGGAATATTTGTTATAAGGGGGGAGGAGAAATGGGCAATATAAAATAATAATACAAATAATAATATAAATATAATAACAAAAAAAAACAGTTTAAGACCACTTTTTTGTTTTTTTACCATGTCTGACATTACAAACCGTTTTACGTACATATGCTGCGCAGCACTGCTGCCAGGTGTGGTTTAGTACATACATACAATCAGGTTGTTTTTTTCTGTTTTTTAAAAAAAACTTTTACTGCACCGTCCAAGCTCCGAAATTTCTGATCAAAACCAGTATATGGATTAAAGGCTGCCAAAGACTAAGGAGTCTCCGACTACGTAATAACAACTGACTAGTTGTCAAGATCTCAAGGCAGTAATTTTTTTACGTGATTGGATGTTTTACAAGGATGGTTTATGCACTGTGGATACAGTTTACATCATAGACATTTGATTTTCGATTTTTAATAATAACAATTAAATAAAGATACTACAATTAAATGAAAGAAGAAAATCAATGGAAAACGCCGCGACAGTCGTGTCTAAAAAGTATCTGTCGGGATATTTGACTGTTTATCAGTATGGTAAAGACTCAGTTCCGGCCCAGAGAGATATGATAACCATCTTCTTAGAATTGCAAATAACATATCATTAATGAGATTCCGACGGTTTAGCCATGGGCCGCAGGTCTAGCTTGTCACTTGCAATACTAGGCTGTATTTAAAAAAAAAAAAAAAAAAAAAAAAAAAAAAAAACGGTAGAAACGAACCCCAAGCACTAAGACCCATGATGTCAATTTTCTCTCTTGTTTCAGCGTTAATATCACCAACATTGATTTACTGATTCATCCCTGAGACAATTAAAAAAAAATAATCATAAAATAAAAACCATTTCTCAAGCGGAAAGCACGATGAATTTGTCTAACTAGCCACCTCAAAAAACCCAAAATAAGAATAATAATAATAAAAAAATCACTTCATACCCTTAAAAGATTCCTTTGTTTTTTTTTTTCTTTTCCAAATGGCCAAAACTTTCGATCTCAATGTATTGAAGGCGGGGGGTCAACAATTTCAGTGCATTAGTACACTCACAAGTGGAACATGTTACATAACGGTTTGCGTTCGAGTTTGTTGTCAAGGAGCACTGCACAAAAGAAGAAAAAAGAAAACAAAAAATTAAATGACACAGACAGGAATCGAACCTGCAGCCTTTGGATTTGGAATCCAATGCTCTACCATTGAGCCACTGCATCACTTGTTATTAAAATATTTTTCCTGTATTATTAGATCATTCAATATGTATAAACAATAAATCACCATTTTAGTACCCAAAAAGTTTGAATTATAAATAATTTTTAATTTAAAAGACTCAAAATAATCTTGGTACATAATAATTTTGGTTTTTGATTTTTTTTGATTTTTTTTGATTTTTTTTGATTTTCTTTTTTTTTGCTAGGCAGTGTTTTCATAAATTCTTGGAAAAGGTTGAAGCCATATATGGGAACAAATCAAGTTCCCTAAATCCGACACATGTAAGTAAGACCGTTTTTTATATTGCGTTGTAAGTCTAGACTTGATTTGGCCACATGGTGCTGATACCCAATGGGATAATTTCTTTTTTGTTTGTAGTATTTTCTTTCTCTCCCAATTAAAAACCCAAAATAATCGGTTCCTGGTAGGAAACCAACGTTATTTGAATCTTCTCAGTGGTTACTGGAATTATTATTGTGGCCTTTACCTGAAGACCAAAAAAGATCAGCATACAAAAGTCATCATCATCATCATCATCATAGGAAAATAAATACCAAAAAAGAAATGCCAGAGTAAATAAATAAAAAAAAAAAAAATTTATAAAAATATTTAGCAACGGCTTTTTTCTTCTTTCTTTCTAATTTATTTTATTTTATTTCTGGTTCTTTCTATTTATTTTTATGCTCCTACCTTTTCTCACCATCTTTTTCTTTTAATTTTTGTGTTTCAATACTTCTCTTTGTCAACAAATTCTTTTTCTCGAGTAAACCCTGTTCCTCCTCTTTTCGTTTAGAAACCAATCACCAACCTTGCAAACCCAGCGCTTCAATGCTTCTCCATAACACCAACCCATCTCAATATCAGCAGCAATATCATCAGCAGGAACCTGAAATCATTAATCAGATGCCGATAGATCATCAGCAGCAACATTATCAACGTAGTCAACAGCATCGCCAACAACCTCCTCAACAACAGTTTTTACCAACCAGCAATTCATACAGCCTGGCCACAACAACACCTGGTTTTCAATCCAACCTGGCCATGAAAAACACCGACAGTTATCATCAAATTCAAAACCATCACAGACATCAGCATCATAATCTCCAGCATCCCCAGAACTACCCTGACCTCGTCATTGAACAAGCAGTAAGTTCTCATTTCAGAAACATCTGTCTCATCTACTTGCTATGTTTGTTTCTAACCCCTTCGCAGTGCGATTCGTGCCGTATTAGAAAGCTCAAGGTAAGTCTATAAACTAGCACCACCACCCGCATAACCATCTTTGCCGTTGATCGTCTGACTGGCCCCATTTATTGTTTAGTCATGACTGATCACTAACCCTTTTTTTTTTTAAGTGCTCCAAAGAGCTCCCCGCCTGCTCAAAATGTACTCAGTATAATCGGACTTGCAAATACTCACCAAAAACTGTGAGGTCTCCCTTAACAAGAAAGTAAGTAGTTTAGAGTCAGAGTTGCCGTGTTCTCCTTTTAGTCATACAAGCCATCACAGCCTCTCTTTCAGATTATTATTTTCTTCATAAACTAATCACGCTCAAATTTCTTGTTTAGCTATCTCACCAAAGTCGAAGACCGGGTCAGGCGACTAGAGAGCCTGATTTGTGAGATTCTGCCTAATGCCGACATTGACACCCTCTTGTCAAAGTCACATCTTCTATCCAGGGATGCCCATCAGCCCAACTACAAAATCAAATCTGAGGGTGGTAATAGTAGTAACCTCAGCGGGGCTAGCCGTCCGCGTTCTTTCCGACCAACCCCAGCTCATCGACCACTGATTCCCAACGACGAGGTCCCCGATGAAGCAGACGGATTTGATTGGATTGAGGTGGATCTGCAAGGAAATGAACTAACCGACGGCATGGCCGCGCTGTCTATCAACCCCAAGGGAACCGGATATTTTGGGTTAGCGTCTAGTTCTGTGCTTTTGCGTGCACTGAAAATTCCCTCCAACTGGGACAAACCCCAGTTTCCCTTGGAATACCCACCGGACGAGGAAGAGGAAGATCTCACCAATACTAGTGGATTTTCAATTGCCACTACCACTAGTCCCGCATCGGATGAAGAGTATAATGTCAGCACCTCGTCTTCTAAAAACTCCCCGCATTCGTTTCCGGCTGTGTCGTATTCGATCCCCAGTAACCCAGTTCCAAAGTTTATCAGTGATACCTTAGTGGACTCATTTTTTACTTTTTACAATTCGTCATACCCCCTCATCCATGAGCCTACTTATAGAGCCCAGTACATGGGTACCATTCCTAGACCGCCTGATGACGTTTGGGATCTGCTACACAATACTGTAATGGCGCTTGGTTCGTGGTGCATCAACCATGAAAGCAGTACTGCTGATCTCTACTACTACCAGCAAGCCCGCACCAAGTTGAATTCCCGAATCCTGGAGACAGGAAATTTACCTTTGGTTCAAGCCTTGACACTGCTCTCCAACTATGTTCAAAAACGCAACAAGCCCAATACTGGTTGGAACTACCTTGGCCTTGCCATTCGCATGGCGTTGGGGTTGGGCCTTTACAGAGAGTTCCCCAACTGGAAGAGTAGTCCACTCAAGCAGGAAATTAGATTACGAGTTTGGTGGGTTTTGTACGTTTTTGATGCAGGTGCAGCTGTCACGTTTGGCCGTCCTGTAAATCTTCCTGCCCCCGAAATTGTTGATATCAAGCCCCCCATGAACATCCACGACAGTCAACTCACTGCCGATACAACGCTAGACATGGTGGGTTCACTTCATGAAATGGCTAATTCCAATGGACCCACAATTTACTCTGGAATTATTGCTCAATCAAAGTTTTGTCTTTTGACCAACTCCATATACAACCGGCTCATCTCTAAGCCAAGTCCGTCGGCTGAGGAGTGTCTAGAGTTTAACAAGACAATTATGACCAAGTTTATGGATGAACTGCCTCCATATTTTAAGGAGGGAGTTGCCTATCCCATTGACCCGACCTGCCAATGGCTGGTTCTCACTCGTTACCGTCTGCTATGGAGAGTCAAAAACTTTCAGGTCATTATGTTCCGGCCGTTTGTGTTGCAGCGCATCCTGCTCCTGCGCAATAACCCGGCCTCAGTCTCGTCGGCCACGTCAGAAGCCGAGCGCAAGTGCCGAGACATTTGCATCAAGTCAGCGCGCGACACAATTCATCTTGTAGACGAGTTCCTTCAGTTCCAACAAGAGCCCTCTTCTGTTGCTGTTTGGTACGCGCTCTACTTTTTGTTCCAAGCGGCGCTGATCCCCATCATTTGCATTTCATCTGAGCCCACCAGTGAGCACGCTCGCGCGTGGGTTCAGGATGTCGAGCGCACCAAACAGATTCTGCTATCACTCAATAGACAAAACAAGCTTGCAGCACGCTTCTATGACGTACTTGAGAGACTCCTGAGCCAGTATGTCTACGTCAATGCCAACTTGGGTGAGGATAGTAATGGCACCGCTGCTCTGGGTGGCAATGGCGGTGTTGCTGGTCTTGATGACCCACAAGCCTGGATGTCGGATATCTCGTCGCTGGTATTTGACTTGTATGGCTCCGGGGCCGTCTCGTTTGAACTCGCTAATGAACCCATCATCATGTAGGTTTGTACCCATTGTTTTTTTTTTACCATCAAGAAAACGACTCCGACCTGTTTGCGAAGTATTTATTCATTTTAAACTTTTGTATGTACACTATATTTTTTCTGTTGTCATACTCTTTTATAAATATTTATAGTATATGATCCAGATCATTCATTTTTTGTTGTGTCATTTGTATTGCTTTTTTTATTTATTTATTTACTTATTTATTTACTTATTTATTTATTGATTTATTTAAACTTTTTCTTTTTTGTTTTTTTTTGTGCCGAAACTAAACTGTTTTTGGAGCCCAAGACTCTGGCGAAGCAGATGATGCCATTTCGTCTAGCGCACTCACTCGGGGCCTTAATTGCTTTTATTTTCTCTTTGCTATAGATGAATTTATTTGTCCACTCAGACTCAAATATATGTATACTTGCGTAGGAATAATGGATAGCAATGGATATTAGTCTTGGATGAGAGAATCTAAACTGTCAAAGACAAAAGCCACGAGGGTGTGGGGAAGCAACTGCCAGAAAACCTTTTATTTTATTTTTTTTATTGTTTTATTTTTGCATTTATTTTATGTCCATATTTATCATTACCGAGATTATTATTTTGAGACAATAGATCGTTTGCTTTTGCAAGGTACCAAAGAATCAACACCAACATCGGCACATGAACCCCATGGACTCTGTGTGATAATATATATAGCATAGGTATTATTGCCCATATTCCCGAATAAAAAAAAAAAACAAAAAAAAAAAACAAAATGATTTATGCATTGCTATATGATGATTTATATACATATAAACGTAACGGGGTTAGCTTTATAAACAACGAGATCTAGTGCCGATTGACACGAGGTACTTTGCGCATCCTCCCACTTGCAACTCCCCAGGGTAAAACAAGGTCCACCATTATTCGTAGTTCTCCGACCAGGCAAACTTGCTTTTGGCTCGAATATGGAGGCCATACTTGAACAGCAGAATCGGCATGGGCACAAATGCCAAACAGATGAACGCGAGCAATGAGGTAGCCCAGGGGATACCAAGATTTTCATACATCTGGAGACCAAACAAGGGAAAAACGCTGCCCACCGTGCTGCGCACGACACCGTTACATGCCATGGCACTGGCAGCAAACGTGCGGTAGGCATCAATGGTAAAGGCAAAAATGCCATTATAACACACAATTAGACCAAACAAAATAATTCCGCCGCCCATGACAGGGCCCATCCAATGCAGGTTTGGTTTCGCGGTCCAACCAAAAATAAACAGTCCAATAGGGACTATAAGGGCTCCAACCATGGTCTGAGGTAACTGGAACTCTGGCTCGTAAACATAGTTTCTCTTGGTGTTGCGTTTAATGCAAGTTGGGATAGTGTAAAGCTTGTTAATGAGAACTGTTGGCGCTGCTGCAATGC